GGACACCGACGCTCCAGCTCTGAAAGTATTCAATTCGGAACCCGCCGGTGGTAGCAGGGGAAGAGGGATGCCCCCACTGCGATGGAAAGATCAGGTGGAGAAAGACTTGGCTTCACTTGGCGCCAGTTGGCACATAAGAGAAACGACTGGCGTGCTTTGCTGAACTCGGCCAAAATCGATTAGGCGGTTACAGCGCCAAAAAAGAAGAAGAAGAAACTTCGATAAACAAAGGAATCTATGAGATGAACTGTACTTCAGAGTACAAATACTCAAGTTGATAAAATAAATATGCGAATCATTTGATAGATGATCAAAGGTCCTGATAAGCGGAGATCCTTCGGTGGATGGAACGATGTGCCGCTATCCTGCTCGACGTCAGTGGAAAAGAAGAGAGATATGACAAGGCGGCGGTTGCATTTATAGGCAACACTGGAAGTGGCCCAGTGTGCCAATAAGCAATCCTGGGAAGCAATTCCCGTGCAATTGTCGAACTTCCAACTAGAGCAGGGATGCTTGTAGTATGGAATTCGAACAGGGATGCATGAACGCAAGACATGCAAGTAATTCCAAACGAACGCCGGTGCTTAATAGCTCAAGTGATGGAAATGCTTTAAGTGAGCGCAAGTCACTTAAACATGCCGGCCCCTTTGCACAGGTGCAAGCGTATCCCGCAAACGTTACAATGCACGAATGGCTCTGTCCAACTCGATGCGGGCACTAGCATCCGGCGGCTGGGCCATTGGTTGCCGGGCCTGAGCCAAAGCTGCCTCCTCCTCCGGTGTCGGACGGTGCAAGAGGGTGTAGTGCATCTGGTTGCAGATTTTGCACCTCCCATCTGAGTGGCAATCCCTCACTTGACTGTGGGTGCGGGCCAAGCAATTGGGGCAGTAGTCCAAGAATCGCACCTTAACCCTACGTTCCTCTACTCCCATGAGTTGAAACTCTTTGCAGAACCGTAAGGCGTGGTATTTGAAAAATATGGGGCACTGATGCACATCGGGGTTACGAGGCAAGCGTGAAGGCCTGGTGTTGCGTGGCAATAGCTACCAAGGGGCGTACGCTTTCGATTTCCTGTAAATTAGATTTGTTTATTGAAAGCTGTCAGAAAACGTATGACTATGGTTGTGAGGAAGTAGAATTGTGTCAAATTTTGTCAGGGCAGTGGATGAGATAAGTCTGTTTGAATCTGGAGCGGACATAGTTTGATAATTGGTCTGGTCAAAGTACCATGTTGCGATCGAATGTCGGCAGCGCGGACTTTGTTGTCCGAGCCATGATAAACCTTTTCGACTCTGCCTAAACGCCATTCATTTGGAGGTAATAGTTCGTTTTTAATAGCCACAAAGTCGCCAACAGAAAGATTGTGGTGCGGGAGTTTCCACTTATACCTTTGATGTAATTCTTTAAGGTATTCATCTTTCCGGCGCTGACTAAATTTTTGATGCAACAGTTTTAATTTCTCCCACCGATTTTGAAGCGAAAGTTTGTCAATTTGGGGTTCTGGCGCTGCAAGCAGAGGAGCTCCACGCAATAAATGACCAGCCGATAGGGCTAAAATCTCGTGAGGATTATCTGACATGGGTGAGAGTGGTCGAGAGTTTAACATTCATTCGATGCGAGCCAGTAGTGTGGCGAGCCCCTCAAAGGTGAAATTATTACTCCCACAGACCGCCCATGTGAGGAGCATTTGGTGGTAAGAACTGCCACTCAAAGCCATGTATGGAATATTGGGATCGTACGTCATCTGCTGACTCTTTAAGGAATCGTCTGAAATCTTGGCATTAGGCCCTACTTGCCCCTACGAATGTGGCTTGAAAGGCTTTGGTAGAGAGTTCGGAGTAGGGTTGTTCGACTTCACTAGAAAGTCGACTTTCGACTTTTCGATCGACTCTGTACAGTCGACTTTAAAAGTCGACNAGTGCATCTGGTTGCAGATTTTGCACCTCCCATCTGAGTGGCAATCCCTCACTTGACTGTGGGTGCGGGCCAAGCAATTGGGGCAGTAGTCCAAGAATCGCACCTTAACCCTACGTTCCTCTACTCCCATGAGTTGAAACTCTTTACAGAACCGTAAGGCGTGGTATTTGAAAAATATGGGGCACTGATGCACATCGGGGTTACGAGGCAAGCGTGAAGGCCTGGTGTTACGTGGCAATAGCTACCAAGGGGCGTACGCTTTCGATTTCCTGTAAATTAGATTTGTTTATTGAAAGCTGTCAGAAAACGTATGACTATGGTTGTGAGGAAGTAGAATTGTGTCAAATTTTGTCAGGGCAGTGGATGAGATAAGTCTGTTTGAATCTGGAGCGGACATAGTTTGATAATTGGTCTGGTCAAAGTACCATGTTGCGATCGAATGTCGGCAGCGCGGACTTTGTTGTCCGAGCCATGATAAACCTTTTCGACTCTGCCTAAACGCCATTCATTTGGAGGTAATAGTTCGTTTTTAATAGCCACAAAGTCGCCAACAGAAAGATTGTGGTGCGGGAGTTTCCACTTATACCTTTGATGTAATTCTTTAAGGTATTCATCTTTCCGGCGCTGACTAAATTTTTGATGCAACAGTTTTAATTTCTCCCACCGATTTTGAAGCGAAAGTTTGTCAATTTGGGGTTCTGGCGCTGCAAGCAGAGGAGCTCCACGCAATAAATGACCAGCCGATAGGGCTAAAATCTCGTGAGGATTATCTGACATGGGTGAGAGTGGTCGAGAGTTTAACATTCATTCGATGCGAGCCAGTAGTGTGGCGAGCCCCTCAAAGGTGAAATTATTACTCCCACAGACCGCCCATGTGAGGAGCATTTGGTGGTAAGAACTGCCACTCAAAGCCATGTATGGAATATTGGGATCGTACGTCATCTGCTGACTCTTTAAGGAATCGTCTGAAATCTTGGCATTAGGCCCTACTTGCCCCTACGAATGTGGCTTGAAAGGCTTTGGTAGAGAGTTCGGAGTAGGGTTGTTCGACTTCACTAGAAAGTCGACTTTCGACTTTTCGATCGACTCTGTACAGTCGACTTTAAAAGTCGACCGATCCACGAAGAAACTCGACTTTGTTCGACTTTTTTCGACTTTTTTAATAAAAAGAAAATGTGTAAAACTATGTTCACATAGCAATATTATCTCAATCAAAGCTCGTTTTTTAATCACCCCGTTTACACAGGCAAATCTCAGATTATTAGCCGTCAAATTTGTTGTGTTTGTTATTCTCACATCTCAAGGAAAGTTATGTTTCTTCTCTGTGCCACCGTGATCAAGTTTTTCTGTTATAATAAGCAATATAAATGTATTTTAACTTAACATTTCATTAAAAATACATTTACAAACCTCTTTTACTTGCTAGCGTACATTTTTGTTTACTTTTACATTTGGCATTTCTCCTCTCTTTCGCAAAAACAATCGATAAATCTAGGATGGACACCGAAAAGTTATCGGTCAAATCTGAGATTATTTTATAATTACAGATTAACAAGGGACCAATTTTATATGGCTAATCTCTTGTTATAATTACAGATTAGGGTGTTAAGCTCGAAAATGAGGATAATCTACTTATATGTGAACCTAGTATTAAGTATACTCTGCATTTAACTCATATATTAGCTATAAATATAGGAGTCAGAATACGCCAAAAATGTCATGATTTACTAGTGGTCTTTAGAATAATCTGTAATTTAGTGAAATTCAATGCTAGGTAAAAAAAACAGACACCATAGGATTTTTAAAAATTGTTCCAGTTATACAGCATGAAAATGCTTATTTTTGAAAAAAAGTTTTAAATTCTCACAAAAAAAAATTCTAAAAATTTTTTGAATCGATATTTGGTAATTACGGACAACTTTTTGAAAAATGTGGCCTTTCCGATGGAGCAGAATTGGCGGGTATTGGTAGAAATATAAGTGCCACTTTATAAGCATGGATAAATATGGGAGTAGCCCAGACAGCTAGTGGATTGGGACTATCCGCACGACTAATGTCGCATATTAACTGGAATCCTACCAGCAACGTTTTTAGCGATGTTTAAAATTTTGTACCTTACGGATTGGTCAAATTCGAACCAAAAACTGCCTGTAAAAACTTACATAAACTCAAGCAGAAAAACTTTCTTGCATGAAATTGTTAAAATAAACATAATAATAATATAATATGTTTATCTTACCTCATTATTAACTGAAGATTGTGGAGACAAACGATTAACAAATTTGAGGAATTTGTTTTCGTATAATAATTTTATGCGCTGCTCTTAAATGATTTGTACTGCTGTACTGTCATTAAAATTCATTTCCCTACCACACTTTTCACATTTCACTTCAGTTTTATTGACACTTTTTTTTAAACACGACCAAACAGCACTTCACGCGCTTGTTATACTAGGTTCACATATAAGTAGATTATCTTCATTTTCGAGCTTAACTTCCTAATCTGTAATTAGAAAAAGAGATTAGCCATATAAAATTCCTCCCTTGTTAATCTGTAATTATAAAATAATCTCAGATTTAACCGATAACTTTTCGGTGTCCATCCTAGTTTTATCGATTGTTTTTGCGAAGAAGAGGAGAAATGGCAAATGTAAAAGTAAACAAAAATGGACGCTGGCAAGGAAAAGAGGGTTCTCAAGGTATTTTTTTAATAAAATGTTAAGTTAAAATATATCTATATTGCTCAATATAGCAGAAAAACGTGATCACGGTGGCACAGAGAAAAAAAAACTTTTCCTTGAGATGTGAGAATAACAAGCACAACAAATTTGACGGCTAATAATCTGAGATTTGCCTGTGTGAACGGGGCGATTAAAAAACGAGCTTTGATTGAGGTAATATTGATATGTGAACATAGTTTTAGAAGATCAGTTTTTGATGGCAAATAAATTAAAAAAAAGTCGAGAGTCGAAAGTGAAAAGTCGACTTCAGTCGACTTCCATAAACTGAAAGTCGATCACTAAAATTCCACTTTCAGGAGTAAAAAGTCGATTTTGGTCGAAAGTCGAAGTCGACTTTGCCATCCCTAAATCGGAGCACGGCTCTAAGTGAATCACTTTAGTTGAGAAAGAAATAAAAACACAAACGTATCCTTTGAGCAACGGTGACTTTCGAAGTGGTGATGATTTGAAATCGAACGGTCCTGCAAAATCAAGACCGGTGTTGAACGCTCTGGCGGTAGGGCTGCCATGATTTGTTAACGAGTATTTTGTTTGAAAATCGTGCATGTTTTACAATTTCGCACGCAGTTTTTGACCTTGGATTTAACAGCCGGGCTCCCATTTTCATTTACTTTTGCGTTTTGCGTTTTCGTAAAAATCGTACGTTTTTATTTTTAGGTGCTCTTGAATTCGCAACTTTTTGTTATCGATAAGTTCCATTCCTCACTTTGTTTCTGGTATAGCAAAACAGCTGTTTTAGCTATTTCAACAAGTTATAAATTAACAAAAATGCCTTTCATTTTTTCACTAGCGTGTTTTGAAGCAAAAAGATTAAAGAAAAAGACAGAATTGAGGAGACTAAAGCATTTAAGGGCAAGGTCAGATATTTGTACTATGCCAGACGAAAGGTGAGTTGTATCCAAAGCCATAAACTGAGCTATTTATTACACAGTTATTCTTTAGTTTCTTAAAGTCATTCCGGGTGGACAAAGACACGTTTAAAATTATTCTACAAAAGCT